AGAGAGAGAGAGAGATCAGGAGTAATGCAGCAAACGTTGGCTACGTCGGGTGCCATGGTGTGTGGCGTGGTTAAATATAAACCCGAAGGCGAAGGAGGGTAAGAGGAAAGAGGGGGAGGAGTGGAATGAACGGGGCGAGTCTCTCCTCACGCGCGCTTACGTACTCGGAGAAGAGGTGCATGGAGCGGCTGAAATGTGACATGCGCTCCTCATTAACATATAAATTAAACGTGACAGTCGTGGGGGTCAGTTCTTCTTTAGCGACCACCGCCGAGACGCGCCGCTCAGGGTCTCTCTTTCATCCATCCTGGCTGTACGAACGCACCGCCCGTCCTTCTTTATTCGAGAATCCAGGATGTAATAACGCCTTTCAGCGGCACGATCGCGGCAAGTATAATGTAAAACGTTCGTCGTCGATTTTTCATTAACAATCAGTTTCTGGTAGCCCTTGGCCTAACTTTAGAAAACGCACGGGCAATGTTGATATGAGTCAAGAGAGCGAGTACAAGAGAGAGGGAGAAAGGGGGAGAGTGCTGTCAAAAGCAAGTATTTCATGTATATTTCACCGATATTATCAATGGATTTTATCAATGTCATTAGATATTTCTTTCTTATTATATCTTATTTTATATTTTATAATATAGTACGAGATATCTATTTATCTATCTATCTATCTATATATATAAAAAATATATTTTTGTGAAATATCGATAGCCAGATATAAAATGTTGTGAATCAACGATAAATTTCTCTCTCTCTCTCTCTACTCTCTATACTCTCGGTACTACTACTACTTTCCGACTATAACTTTAAGACTACGTACTTATACTACTACTATTATAGTACCTACAACGTATTAATTACGTCGTACCCGGGTAGTACGTGGGTACCCATACTAGGGTAAGTCGACGTTAACGTACGTTAACGTTAACGTTAACGTTAACGTTAACGTTAACGTTAACGTTAACGTTAACGTTAACGTTAACGTACGTTACGTACGTACGTACGTACGTACTACGTACGTACTTACTTACGTTACCGTACGTTACGTACGTACTCTACGTACTACGTACTTACGTACGTACGTTACGTTACTACTACGTACGTACTCGTCTACGGTAAATCTCTAACGTTCAACGTCGTCTTACGTCTCGTACCGGTTCTCAGTTCTGTCAGTTCTACGTCCTTTCGTACTCTCTTTCTTCTAGTTGGTAGTGTCTGTGTCGTGTGTGTGTGTGTGTGTGTGTGTGTGTGTGTGTGTGTGTGTGTGTGTGTGTGTGTGTGTGTGTGGCGGGGCGACGATATATATATATATATATATATATATATATATAGAGAGAGAGAGAGAGAGATAACGATTCTTGCTACTATCATATACCATAGTATTTAATAATTTATTAATAAAGATTAATTTCAATATAATATCATAATTCCAATAATAAATTCGTATTATTTATATAATTTTTTATATAAATAATGGGTGAACTGTGAATTTTGTCTTATTAGCAGATATATTAACGGAAATTACCATATTTTATTAATATTCCACATCCTGTTATTATCCCAATACTAATTTTCCGACTTCGTATAGCATCGTTTTCCTCTGACTCTTTTTCTTTGACATTCACGCATCAGCAATTTCTAGACAGAGACGCGGTTGTTTTTCAGTTAATTCTTCCATGATATATATCGTAAAAGAAATTAGCTTACGCAGACCCACGTGCCGCGATTACAAGCTGTACTGGTGATCAGTTTCCTAGTAATAACTTCGTTGGTCGATTGGTAGGAGAAATAACGTGTACATATTTGCTTTTCTTGCGAGCCGCGAGTAGAAAAGAGAGCCAAAGCGGGTCAGGTTTGTTTATCGGAACCTGCGGACTTCCCGCTCTCCCCCGCTTGTGGGATCGGTATCTCCGATAGGCAAAACGGACCCGACACATTCGAGTCGGTTTAACTCTAAATCGTGGGCGAGATTCTAATTTTAGAATCGTGATTTCACGAGTTTTCAACAGTGCAGTCGAATGTTTCGGTAACATCTAAGAGCAATGACCGGCATTCTCCCGCGTATTTTTCGATTGCTAAACATGATCAATATGCTTTTTTTTTTGGTTATCTCGCAGAAAGAATATATTTCACGATGTGTCTACGATAAGAAAAAAAACAAAAAAAAAACGCGAAAACAAGATGACACAAAATACATGATAAATCTTATAACATATTTTCTTAAATCTGGGATTTTCTTCTTTCGACTTCTTTTTTATCGAATATAAGATTATTATACCCCTTTCAATCTGGCCGTAATATCCGTGATTTGGATTTTAATATCGCGATCCCGAAAATTACAAGTATCTTCGAAAATACTCGATCACGATGACAAATGATGTTATTCCTTTCCGTAATTGCCGCGCGCCACTCTCATTTCAACGTTTCCCGGAGAGCCGAAACGGCGCGGTCGTGTGAATATATTTCGGATGCGTTATCTTACTCTCCTCATTATACGGGCCGCCTTCCGAACGGTCCTCCCGTTAAGTTTGTTTATCTCCTTGTTTATCTTTTCGCTGGGTGAAAGGACGGTCGGTTGGGGGACCGGCGGACGAAACTGACCCGCCACTCGAGGCTGTTATCCTAGTTCGTGGACGAGATGCTGGCGAGGTGAGCTTTGGTCATTGCCGGCACAGTGTTATTCTGGGCTCCCACTCGGCTATATTTAGACGAGACCACCTTGAGGGAGCTTAAGACTCGAGAGCTCTCTCTCTCTCTCTCTTTTCTCTCTCTCTCTCTCTCTCTCTCTCTCTCTCTCTCTCTCTCTCTCTCTCTCCCCTCCTCTTCCCGTGGCGTAACGAGCTGGTTTTATCTGCCGGCCGATTGTGTTGGTTGTGCAACGACCGCTCGGAAAATCATCGAGGAAATTCTCTTTCGTCAGACAATCGAGGACGATTTTTTTTTCGACGTGTCGATCGACCACGACACCGACGACACGTTTCGCGCCGAATGATCTCGCGCTTATGATTTAACGTTGCGAAAGCGACCTTCGCGACAGGTTTATTTGAATGAGTTAATTGACAATAATATATGCCCATAACGGGGCACTTGTTTGCTTACTGCTCGCGGAATATCGAAATTCCGACGTTCTTTAATTCCCTGGTCGGGCGCGGTCTCGAAGAAATTATAGGATTTCACGGGATTCGGGATTCTTTCTCTCGGTCGATTTTACTGACGAGCGTCTCCCTCGCGTGAACTTACGGTCACGAAATCCACTTGGTTGCATCTCGTGGCGTATTTCTCGGAAAACAATTTCGGGTTTGTGTGTCAACGTCCTTCGATTACACCGCGACACTCCACCAGCCTCGTTCTAATTCCACGGTTTTTTTGTTGTAAAAACGATTTTTTGAAACGACTCGCAACATGGTTTTGCGTTAAGTACGACTACTGCGCAACGCCTTGGCGTTTGTATAAAAAAAGAAAAAAAAGGGGGGAAAAGATTGCGGAAGACCTCGTTCGCTCACAGCGGCCGGCTGATTTAACGATCTCTCGATCTGCATCAGAGATTCCTCGCTGCAAGCGTTCGCCAATCTTTCAAAATGGATACTCGACATCAAAATGGATAATCGAGATGACAATACGTTTCTCTTTGTTGTTAGGCATCATAAATAACGCAACGCGATGTGTTAACTCGTTATCTC